CCCCCCCCCCCCGCGCCCAGCCGTGAACACTGTCCCATTGGCAGCCGCACTTTAGTTCCGCTTCAGTCCGCTGCTGGCATTAAAAGGCTTGGACGGAGCCTCGTCTGTGATTGTGATGACAACCTGATGCAGCAATCAGAACCACGTCGGCGCCCGCGTGACAGTCTCGCCTCCGGCCGCCGACTTAATGGCCACGTATGCAGACAAGGAAATAACACGACAAAAAGATTTTAAGACGCCGCGGTGGATACACGTGTAATTGCGCGGGGGCTTTTTACACAATACGCCCGAACTGCTAATAGTTAAGTGGTGGTGGTGAGTGCCTTTGTGGGCGCGCTCTCATTTGGACTCTTCAGACCTGTGAGCGGTCCGGTCGGTCGGGCGGCGCCACCTTCCTGTTAGCGCTCCGTTCTACTGACTATTGATTCCCCTTCAAAATGTGAAGTCCCTCACATTCTGATCCCAATCTGTTAATTAATGTATCCTGCAGCTCTGGCCCCTGCAGTGGTCATCACCACGATAAGGGTAATTGAACACCAGGCTCCCACTTTCACTGACTCTTCTCTCTCTCTCTCTCTCTCTCTCTCTCTCTCTCTCTCTCTCTCTCTCTCTCTCCTTTTCTTACCTTTAAACTTTCTCTCCTCGTCATGTGTCCTCAGCGAGCAGTTTTTTTTTTTTTTCGTACATCTGTGTGTTTTAGCGCAGGTGGAGATACACATCACGGCCTGGAGGGGGCACCCCAGTGAGATCGTTTATATTTAGGGAAGACGGCGTGTTCGTGTGTGTGTGTGTGTGCGGTCAATACAGTAATCTGTCGCCTCTTCATCACACGACGGCAGGAAACAGCAAACTTGTGAAAGCACGGGTATTAATCAGGGGCGTCACTGAAGAGGCTAATATGCTGTCAGACTGGGCCACCGCAGGCACGGGGGGGGGGGGGGGAGGAGGAGGAGGGAGTTGACAAGGAAAAAGGAAGCTGTGTGTGTGTGAGGTGTGTGTGTGTGTTCAGGATCATGGATGTACGTCTGAGGAGGAAAATTATTTAGAGAATCAGATTTAGGTTTTGACTCGAATGTGGATCAAGTTAAAAGAATGAATTCAATCAGGAAACAGTCGTTTACACACAGGAAGGAAAATAAAAACCAAAGAAAAGAGGATTAAAAACTGATCAGAAGATTAAGGTCACCATAGGAGTGTGTGTATATGTTTTTTTAAATATATATTTGTCATACTTTATGGTTAACAAATATGGTCCTTGAGGTCATTTACTTTTGTCCCTCTGGACATTCACCAGTTTCTTCAGGTCTCTCTCTCCCTCCCTCTCTCTCTCTCTATCTGTCTCTCTCTCTCCCTCTCTCTCTCTGTCTGTCTCTCTGTCTGTCTCTCTCTCTCTCTCTCCCTCCCTCTCTCTCTCTCTATCTGTCTCTCTCTCTCTCTCTCTCCCTCCCTCTCTCTCTCTCTATCTGTCTCTCTCTCTCTCTCTTTCTCTGTCTCTCTCTCTCTCTCTCCCTCCCTCTCTCTCCCTCCCTCTTCCTCTCTCTCTCTCTCTCTGTCTCCCCCTCTCTCTCTCTCTCCCTCCCTCTTCCTCTCTCTCTCTCTCTCTCTGTGAGTCTTTCATGATTGTCTTTTTTCTGCGCTCAGTCGTTCAGTGTTGTAGTTTTTTTTTTCTTCACTCCTTTTACAACGTCTTCCTGTTAATTTGGTTCTTTCACAAATCAAACCTAAACTAAACTTTCATTTTTGGCTTCAGCTTTTTTTTTTTTTTTTTTTTTTTTATTTGTTGAGCTCGACTTCAGGACACGTTTCAGATCAGGTCATTTTATTGGTTTGTTTTGTTGTTTTTTTATCTTTTTTTTTTTTTTTTTTGTGTGTGTGTGTCTTCAATGTGCAGCTCACTCTCTCTCTCCCCCTCTCTCACTCCCCCTCCCTGTCTCCCACCTCTCATTCTTCCCTCACCTCCTCCTGCCTCATGGTCCATGTCATGTCCTCAACCTCTTCCAATGAGAATGTGTCTCGGTGCTAATCCCTCTCACACCAATAGAATAGGGTGAGAGGAGAGGCGGGGTGCCGGGGGGGGGTAACCACATGGCTCTGTGTCTGCCAGACCTTTGCACCGATTTACTGTCCTCACCCTGAGTAAAGCCCAGTCAAGTGTCCCGGCTTCACAGAGGAGACCTTCGTCTCTCGTGTTTCTGTGGAACACGGAGCTGCAGCCGGGCCTCGACAAGTGTCCTCTAACTCACCAGTCCACACCAAGGCCCGCGCTGAGGCCTGAGATGTTTCATCTTCTCATCTGAACTCCTGTCATTCCCTTCAGTTGTGCACCTGTGCGCCATAACCCAGTACTTTTCTGCCGCTCCTCTGCAGGTTTTTCCACCCTGACGCTGGGAGACCAGATGAGTCTGCTGCAGAGCGCCTGGATGGAGATCCTCATCCTCAGCATCGTGTTCCGCTCGCTGCCGTACGAGGACGAGCTGGTGTACGCCGAGGACTACATCATGGACGAGGAGCACTCGCGGCTGACGGGCCTGCTGGACCTCTACGTGTCCATCCTGCAGCTGGTGCGCAAGTACAAGAAGCTGAAGGTGGAGAAGGAGGAGTTCGTCACGCTCAAGGCCATCGCTCTGGCCAACTCAGGTGGGTTGGTGGGCCGCACTCAGTCCCCGCCCCCCCGGGTCCTGTGTGCAACAGGCCTTTGATCAGGACAGAAGATCCTTTCATTACTACAGTATAATGAAAACACAGTAAAGACACAGAGACAGAGACGACGACTGAGAGAGAGTTTGGAGCTGATGCTAATGTCTCCGTCTTTGTCTCCGTCTCTGTATCTGGACATGAAGTCATTATTAGAATGAATAGATATAAATATCATTGATACAGAGCTACACATTCACCAAGAAGGAGTTTTTAATCATAACATTAAAATATACAAAGTTAGAAGAATAGCATTAAATAATAAACTCATAAAATCACAAGTACACAGAATAATACACGGTATAGTCGGAATTAGGAAAATGTTTCATTATTTTCAGAGTCCAACACTTTAGCAGTAGTGACAGTAACAGTGCAGTGTTGTGAAATATAATCATCAGAATTGAGTCTTAAAATTAACTTATAATTTAGAAATAAGAAAGTGGAAAAAAAACAAAGACTTTGAATTCCATTAAAACAGATTTTATTCACATATTAGACACAGTGATATTGAAGTATTGAAAGAATAATAGAAATACTTCATAAATAAATGTACATTTATGATTATGATTTAATACTTTAAAAGCTCTTGTTTTCTGTATAATTATACTTTAGACCTGAGTACTTACCCAGCTGTTTGGGCTGCAGTATTGCAGTTATTTATTAAATATTTCACAAAATAAATTTAAATTATAGTCACGTATTTTGTAGATTTTGAACATCTAAAAATTTCAACAAAATTAACATCAACAAAATCAAAATCCTTACAAAATAAAAGCCTTTTTAACTAATGTAACGACACGTTCATATTGAAGTGTAAAATAATACGGCAGGTTTTTTTTGGTTTTTTGTTTTTTTTTTTTTATTTGTAAAAGAATGAAATATTTCCTGGGCCTCCTGGAAGGTGTTTTTTTTTTCTCTCTCTCTGAGAAATGAACGCTGCACAGTGTTTCATCTCACACACTTTTAGAAACGACATTTCTTGGTTTTCCAGCACTTTCTCTGTGTAACCTTTAGTTTGGAGCATGAGACGGAGAGATGGAGGGAGGATAAGGCCGAGGGAGGGAGAGAGTGAGGGGGTTTATTTATTTATTTTTTATTTAATTGAACTCCTTCCATGTTGTGGTATTTCTCCAGCCACTCTCTCCCTCCCTCTCCCTCCCTCTCTCTCTCCATAACAGTAGCCGCGGGGCACGGCAGCCACGGGAGATAAATTTAGCATTTCATTAGGAGCACAGGCGCTGTCAATAAAATGTGTTAAGTCGAATGGAATGAGTATCAGGGAGTGATAGGCCTCGTTTGTTCCAACGGCCGCCGCGGCACGCCGCTATTGACGGGCTCCTTTTGAGGAGGCAGAACCCGTCCCGCTCTGATCAATGCCGGCCCGGGTCAGCGGCCCGCTCTGCCGGGTTTTGTCCAAGGCTGAAAAATGAAAACGCTGACGGTGAGGCTTCGCTTTCAGACACTGAGGTCTGGACGGGAGGGAGGGAGAGGAGAGATGGGGGTCGAGAGGAGGGGGAGGGGGAGGGTGTCCGCAACGTTAGAACAAGGTCTCAGGGAGATGGCTCTCCCGGGAGCCCCTCTGTCTGACAGCTGTGAAAATTCATAGCGATTGATTTTGTAATTAGCAGTTTATCAATCGGATCGACGTGGGCTCACTGATGGATTGCGAGGAAATTGTTTCTTCAGAGTTGTTTTCTTAAGTCCTCCCCTCCTCCAAGGACTGGGAGCGGTGCGTTCACTGTCTCTCGTCCACCTTTTTTTCCTCCCATCTGTTGAGACGTCTCCATCTCCTTGTTTTTTTTTTTCTTTTTTCTTTCTTTATTTCGCTCCTCCTGTCCCGCCCCGTCGCAGCAGAACATTTCATTACGGCCCGGTTCAGATCAGGTTTATTGCTAAAGTGTGCGCCTTGCTTTGATTTGTAAAATTGCAGCTGTGAAACCAGCCTGCGTGAAAAAATACAAGAGATAATGATGTCACAGCAGCTCCTCATCTCCTCGTCTTTTATTTCCTCTTTTTTCTTTTTTTTTTTGCCTTTTGTTCTTCCTCTCCCCCCGACCCCCTCCGCGCCCCTCCTCCTTTCACTTTCACTTTACAAAACGACCTACTTCATTTTACCACTGTGGATTTGAAAACCGTCAGGGTGAGAAATGTCTCAAGGTCTTGGGAATACAGTTGTTCCACTCAATGAATTTGGGGCGAAGTCTGAAATCTGTTTTGCCTTTTATTGTCCCGTGTGGTAAAATATGCAGCGCCAAGGTGAGTGGAGTCAAGCAGCCAATGACATGGTACCTCTGTGCCAGAATCCTGTTAGCTGGTGTGAGAAAAACACAACCCACACATCAACCCAGAAGGAGAGAGAGAGAGGGGGAGAGAGACAGAGGGAGAGAGTGAGGGAGGCAGGTGGGGGAGAAAAAAAAAACAAAGGCTGAGACAGAAGCTGGAATCAGAGGCGGACTCTCGTAACATGATGAACATAAGGATTAGCTTAAAAAAGTGAAACATTACAGAAGCCTGAAACCATAGACGGCACAAAAGCTCAGATCCGGAAAAAAAAAAAAACAGAAGCTGAGAGCGATAGTCTTTCTTTTTACCGTACAAAGATTTTTTTTTAAACTTTCTGTCACTCTTGCTAAATAAAAACACACCACCACAGATAATTTCCCCACATATTAATGATTTTTTTGAAAATTAAATCATTCAAACCTTTCCACCTGGCCTCGGGCTAGCAGCCTTTAGCTACCACTTTGGCTAACTAGGCTTTATTTATTGATGTGTTTGTTTTGGACTTTATTTATTTGTGATTCTGCCTTAGACCAAAGTTCTCTAGACTAAAATGTCTTTTTTTTATTATATTTTTAAAAAATATATGTTGTTTTTGTTTAACTTTTCACGTTTGAACGCTATTGTTGTAGCACAATTTGTGAATTATCTTGATGCGTACGTCAGTTTTATAACTCGATGTTCAACAAAGTTTAAATACTTTAGAATTGCAAAATGAATACTCAAACTTAGCTAGCTCTAAGCTACCTTTGCTAAACTTTAGCTACTTTCTTTGTATCTTTTTGGCTACCATTGAGCTAATTTGCGGCTAAGTCTGTTTTGTTTTTTCACTTTATTTTTTACCATCTTTTTGGCTACCATTGAGCTAATTTCCGGCTAAGTCAGTTTTGTTTTTTTACTTTCTTCTTTTGGCTAACTTCTTAGCTAACACTTTTAACACATGTTAGCTACTCTGGCTAACTTTAGCCACCTCACAGGTGCATCTTGGCTAAATCTAAGCTGCTTTTTTTTTTGTCAAAATCCACAGCATTTAGCTTTTAGTTTCAAATCTTCAGACTGATTGACTGTTTTAATTTTGTGACGAGGCTAACATCTCCGTTTACTCCGCCGTCACAGGCCTAAACGCAGCAGATGTTAGCTAACTCTCTGACGTATTTAGTTTCGGAGAGCTACTGTATGAGCTGTTTTATTTTTTCTGCTCATTGGTGACGGTCGTAAAAGCCCTTCAGTGAGCTGGACTTTAATGGGAGGGAAGTGTTGCGTCCGACTCCTGCTTGTTTACAGCATCCAATCTCTTAACGGAGCTCTTTTCCACTCTTTTGTTACAAAAAAAAAAAAAGAAAGAAAACAATCTGTCCCGGGGAACAGAGAGGTGTTTAATGTGTTTTTACTCAGCAGAGACTGGGTGCTGCTCACGCCATTGTTACTGCAGGATAACATTGATTTTCAGTCCCGCCGGTCAAGGGTTGTATGAATATCCCCGGCCGGTCCAGCAGAGCGTAAATATATAAATAAATAACACAAACCAGATGTTGCCTTTTTTTATGATCCGTCCTTTATCTTGTCCCGGGGTTGAGTTATATTTATAATGTGTTTCATACCTTGGTGCAACTGACGGGGCAGTAAAGATCAATCACCAGATTTAATTTTGTTTTAGAAAAATCCCATTTCCCATCACTCTTGTTATATTACCACTGTCTCCCAAGTACAAACTGCATTTCTTAACAAGTTCTCTGTTGTTTTTTTGTTTTTTTTCCTTCACCCAGATTCCATGCACATAGAGGACATGGAGGCCGTCCAGAAGCTTCAGGACGCCCTACACA